CTGCCTTGAATCACTGCAATCTATTTAGTATAAAAACACCCACATTGCTGTTAGGAATAGAGTTGTTGCATTATGACCCAGCAACACTGAATGAACAGCAGTGTAGCTCCCAGTCAGGATGATGTGTGACGTGAAGGGTAACTTGCAGGGTCTGGTGATCCCAATGCATCTGCTTCCCTCTCCTTCTGTGCAATAGAAGTTTTGGGTTTGGAATGTGTCTTCAAAGTAATTTTGATGATTTGTTGCAGTGCATCTTGTAAATGATAAACTCTGCTGCTATTGTACGTTGATATTGAGAAGAGTGAATGTTTAATGCAGTGGATGGAGTGCCAATCAAGCAGGCTCCTTTGACCTGGATGATGTAGAGCTTCTTGAGTGTTGCTAGAACCTCACTTATCCAGGCAAATGGAGAGTATTCCATCACTCTCTTTACTTGTGGATAGGCATTAGGTAGTGGACAGACTTTTGGGAATCTGGAATTGAATTACTCACTGCATACTTCCTAACTTCTGTTCTACTCTTGTAGCCACAGATATGGCTGATCCACAGCAGTTCCTGGTCAGTGGTAAGCCCCAGGTTGTTAACAGTAGGGAGTTCAGTAAAAGGAGCCAGTTAGAATCTTTCTTGTTAGTGATGGACATTGATCATTACTTGTATGTTGCAAATATTAATAGCCAGTTATCAGCACAGACTTGAATGTTGTCCAGGTTTTGCTGCATATAGATAAAGACTGACTCAGAGTCAGAGTTGTAAATCGTGCTTCATATGATGCTACCAGTAGTGAACATCACCAGTTCCGGCCTTCGGATGAAGGGAAGGTCATTAATAAAGCACCTGAAGGAGCTGTCCTGAGGAATCTCCTGCAGAGATATTCTGGGTCTGAGATGATTGACCTCCAACAACCACAACATTTTTCTTTGTGCTGAGTATGACTCCAAGCAGTGGAGTTTTCCCGATCCTCGTTGACTTCAGATTTGCTAGAGTTCCTTGATGCCACTCTGAGTCAAATACTGTCTTTATATCAAGGGCAGTCACTTTCACCTCACCTTGAGTTCAGCTATTTTGTTCATATTTGAACTATGGCTGTATTAATGTCAGGAGCTGAGCAGCCCTCATGGAGAATCAATAGCATCTGAGCAAGTATCACTGGATAGCACTGTTGACAACATCTTTTTTTACTTTGCTGATAATTGAGCACAAATTGATGCGGTAATAATTGTTTGGTTTTTATCTTGCTTTTAATGGACAAGACATTGTTGGGCACCTAAGGTACCCAATATACAAATGACTGTTATCATGCCTTGGAAGTTCATTATTCTTGTTAGTCTTTGCATAAGCATTACAACGAAAAAAGAAGAACAAAGAACAGTACAACACAGGAACAGGCCCTTCAGCCACCAAGACTGCAGTGACACATGACACCTTTCTAAACTAAAAACCTATTGCTCCTACACAATATGTATACCTCTGCGCCCTGCTTATTCATATTATCTGTCATGATGCTTCTTAAACATTATTATTGTATCTGCTTCTACTACCTCCTCTGGCACTTACCACCTTTCTTGTAAAAAAAAAAGTCTGCCTCTCAGATCTTCTTTAAACTTTCCCTCTTTTACCTTAAACCTCTGTCCCCTAGTAACTGACATTTCTACTGTGGGAAAAAAGACTTCTATCCATTCTATCCATGCTGCTCATAATTTTGTAAACTTCCATCAGGTCACTCCTCAGCCTCCAGCATTCAAGTGAAAACAAACCAAGTTTGTCTAATTTCTCCTCGTAGCTAATACTTTCCAAACCAGGCAACATCCTGAAAAACCTTTTCTATACCCACTCCAAAGCTTCCAAATCCTTCTGGTAGTGTGGCAACCAGAACTGTATGCAATATTCCAAATGCATCCTCACTAAAGTTCTATACAGCTGCAACATGACATGCCAATTTTTGTACATTATGCCCCAAGCGTGGGAGGTAAGCATGCCATCATCTTCTTGACTATCTTATCCACTTATGTTGCCTCTTTCAGTGAACTGTGGCCTAAGTGCCTGATCCCTCCATATTAATAGTTATAAGGGTTCTGCCTCATTGTATTAGAGCCTTCCAAAATACAATCACCTTGCAGTTGTCCAGATGAAATTCCATCTGCCATTTCTTAGCCCAAATATCTAGCCTATCTATATCCTACTTTAACCCCTGGCAATCTTCCTCACTATCCACAGTTCCCCCAAATCTTGGTGTCATCTTCAAACTTAATAATCAGACCATTTACATTCTCCTCCAAATCATTTAGATATATTACAAATAACAGAGGTTCCAGCACTGATCCCTGCCATTACACACAAGTCTTTAACTCATTTGGGTCTCTTAATGGTACCTGTGCATGGTAATGTTCATTTGGGTGATGTTCCTTCACTGCAGAGCATCATTCTAGTGTCATTTGTTGTTTCATTTCTGATGTTGGAGTGTTGTACATCTCTGGGTCTGATGATTGATATTGTGGCTATTCATAGCAGAGAGTTCGCATCTTCTTGATTGGCTGCCTGCATTTGAGGAACAGCTTCTGCAGTTGGGTGTATGTGGCTGCAGTTAAAATGGTTTATACGGTGGTTCACTTCCATTGCATTTCATTGAGGTGACAACTGCTCTATGCAGGTTTCAAATTACCAGTTGGGCTTCCTCTCGTTGACAGCACTAAATGTTTGTACCCTGACTGGCTGTCCAATGCTCTATGGTTTGCATTCTTGTCAAAATGATATACGGTTTTCTGCTATTCCACCTTGAGTCTGTTTCTATGTCTAGCTTCAGTAGTCTATTGCTATTGGAAGAGTAGTTTGGGTATAGTGTGATCTTAGTCTTTGGACAGACCCATTTTCCATGCTTTCATGGTATGCTTCTCCACTCAAGCATTGCATTTTATACATCTGTACGGGGGCTTCTTGATTCTTTTATGATTCCTTCAGCAATTTTCACTGTCACTTCAGACTTTCCTCTTAACTGGGGATAGTGTGGAGATGATGTATGGTGTTAAAATTTCCCAATCTTTTATAAAATGGATAAATTCTTAATTTGTGAGCTGAGGGCCATTGTCACTCATCACAATGTTGGAAATACTGCAACAGGCACTCAATAATCTCAGCAGTGGTCACTGAGGTCAGCTGGTCCACCTCCCACTAGGCTGAATAGTAGTCCATGGTGACAAGATAATCAATTCCTGCATGTGTGAAGAGAACTACTTGCATCCATAGTCTGACTGGCATGTTATTGGCATCTCCCTAGTTTGCTTAGATTTGTACTTAATATATGCTCTGCACTGGATAATATGATCCTTGATTTTATTGCTTATGCTTGGCCAGTATAACACATCTCTTACCTTCCTCAGACTTAACTTGGTGGCTTCCACAGATGCACTTTAACTCCTTCATGATAATGACTCCAGATCCTTTGTACAATTCATCTGTGCATGCCCAATACATTCTTATGGTAAAAGATAGTCCTGGATGTTTTCAGGCCACACCTTCATCACTACTTCTTGCAACATTTGGAGATTTGGATCTTGCTGGATAGTTCATTTGATTTGAGAAAGGCACTTGTCTATTAGATTAAATGTCTCTGCTGGGTTGATGTCTTCCAAAACATACCAAGCTGCTGCTTCATGTTGGATCTGAAATATTTCATACTCTGTTGTAGCACCCTCTATTTTCTTGATTCAGTGTGATGCTCACGACAGTTTGTCAACAATGTACAACCTTATAGAGGTTTATAAAATCATGAGGGGCACGGATAGGGTAAATAGGCACGGTCTTTTCCCTGTGATGGGGGAGTCCAAAACTAGAGGGCATAGGTTTAAGGTGAGAGGGGAAAGATATAAAAGGGACCTAAGGAGCAACTTTTTCATGCAGAGGGTGGTGTGTGAATGGAATAAGCTGTCAGAGGAAATAGTGGAGGCTGGTACAATTACAACATTTAAAAGGCATCTAGATGGGTGTATGAATAGGAAGGGTTTATCAGTAAATGGGACTAGATTTATACATGATATCTGGTCGGCATGGACAAGTTGGACCGAAGGGTCCGTTTTCATGCTATACAACTTTATGACTCTATCTCCTTCCCTTGTTTGTATTTTACTGCCAGATGGCAACTCTGTAACCAAAATAGCATTCTTTGAATAAATATTTGATCAGATAGTAGTGGCTTGAGGAAAATGTTTTGAAAAAGCTTGTGGTTGGAGTAGGCTGTCAATTTTGCCTCTTCCAAGTAGGTATTGATGAAAACGTTTGCAATCAAATTCAATGGTCAAGCACACTTTCTCAATCTGAACATAGATTCGGTTTGTGTGAATGCCTTGGATGCAAATGAAACCAGTTGTCCTTGCTACATTAGGGTTGCTCCAAAATATTTCTCTTTGGCATTAAAGGATGACTTAATCACTCAAGTCATAGTAATTCAGCACAGGTATTGCGTCACTAGTTTGAGTAAACAATGCTTGTTGTTCATGCCCCAATTCATTCAGTCCTTCACCATGAGTTAAAATAATGGTTCACATCCTGATGACAATTAGGGAAAGAATTTTGCTAAGTAGTTACTACATCAATGCAATAGCTCTTACATTTCTGGGATCAGGGCGAAGTCCTTTTGGTGACAGGACGTGGCCTATGTGCTTAACTTTGGGCATCATTAATGGCAATTTTTTCTGGTTCAGGTTCACATGGCAAGCTCTGTCTAGCAAATGAATTTTTTTTAATCATGGTGAGCAATGGTTTTCTTTCCATTGTGTCTCCACATCAATAAACTATAAGATCATCCACTATAGCTTATATTCTGGGAAGATGACTAACTATGTCATATTGACATCTTCAAGATGACTGCGGCAGCAGGGTAGGAAGTGGTCAGGCACTGTGCCTGTATACTTCTGCTCTCGCTCACCTGGCCAGCTGCATTCTTTTTTGTTCCTTTTTTTGGTTTTGTTTCTCATTTTATCATTTCATTTTTTTTAATGAAAGTTAACCTTTTCTTCTTTTCTGCGGCTGCGGTGGTAGCGTGGTGGATCCAGATGTCTGTTCCTTGTGGTCATAGTGGCTGTGGCTTTATTGAAGACTTCATCATCAGTGGGTCTGGTTTGTTCCACCATGGCGGCAGTGCGACAGTTTTAACGATGGCTACAGCAGTGGTGGCATGGTGATTCTGGTTAGTTCCTTATTGCTATGACGGCAATGTGGCAGCTTCGGGCAGTGACTGAAGTGGTGATGGCTTGAGTGATGACTTCGGCATCAGCAACTTAGTGACTCTGATCTGTTCCTCCTTGCTCTGGTGACAATGCGGTGACTTCAGTGTTGGCTTTGGCAGCGGCAGCATGGTGTATCCAGTCTGGAAATTCCTGACTTGGCAGCCTCAGAGGCAGCTTCGGCAGCAGCCTCCCATGGCACTTCAGAAACCCAGGAGCCATGGAGGGTACAAAAGATGAACTTTGTCCTAACTTAGTCTCAATTATGTTTTTTTATTATTTCTGTAATTAAAATGGCACCATATTGTGATGACTTATACACATATTACTGTAGTTTCATAAATACAAATGACAATAAATTGCTATTCTATTCTATTCTATTGTCTGTGTTGATACTCGTCTGGAGCCATGGAAGTGCCAAATAGCATGTGTAACCATCTGTAGTCCTGAAACTTGTCCAGAATGTAATTAGAAAGCTGCTGATTTCATCCAGCTTCTCTTACTAGTAACCACCCCTTGCATCTAAGATAGTGAAAATATTTGCCTTTCAAGTTGTTGCAAAGTTACAAATATTACAGTGTCTTACCCAGAGTTTCAGCTGTGGCCTTATCTTTGTCTTTTTTCAATTGCTTGTAGCAATTTTAACAGCTCTGAACTTTCATGTGTCTCTCTATCTGTATCTGTGCTTTTTAACAATCTCACCTACACTTCTGACACCATGGTTCAAGATCTCAACACAACAGTCTTGCCTATGCTGTGACTTTACTGCACCTGGCTGCCAGTAGAAATCCTTAGTCAGTATCTCATGGTGCAGGTCACATGGCAATGTCAGGCCAAAGACACATTAGTACAGATTGCATTCCTATCCCAAACAGAGTGTGGTGGTTGATAAGTGTAAGAGGCAAATGTTCTTCCCTGTAGCTTAAATTATAAGTTGCCTACAAAAAGAAAATAGAGTTTAGTTAATAGTTTTTCATAGTTGTTACAGTAACAATTTGAAAATATAAAATTTTGACATGGTATCCTTTCAGCTATCAACTGAAAGTATAAATCACGCAAGTGTGCATGGTTCATGTTTGAGTATGCATTATTTGGGTAATTAGAATTTAACTGCTGTATAGTGGAGGGGGATATCAGGGATTGAAAAGATCCTGTCAGCTTCTTGCCACATGAATTATGCTAAAATTATCTGCACTGTAAAGGCCAGCATATCAGACTGTGACTTAACCAAAATTATTGAAATATTATTATTGTATAGTATATTATTATTATTGAAATACTAAATTTTAACTTCCCTAACTCAAGGTTGTTGTTCCACTTACTCTCTGAAATGTCACAGCAAGCGTTGTGGATAATTTTTCTTTTTCTCCTTTGCAATCAAACTTGTTTGTTCCTGATTCCAATAAAATCAGGACTTTGCTTCCCTTTGACTATTTGGTTTTCTGTGAGCTTTCATGCATTTGGTTAGAATCATTAATTGCACTTTAAACCTTGGAGCAGGTTCCCATTCTTTCAACATTGAAAAGCATGACATGAGAAAATTCTGCGCACCAATCCGTAAGGTCATAGGAACAAGATACTGCTTCATTGCAAAACTCAGAAATGGAATAAACAGTTTGGAGTATAACAACAGATTTTATGAGGGCACAGACTAAGGAAATGTGTAGATGTATAACAGACTAAGTTTAACATAGACAAATGAGACGTGAGCCACACTGCTTAGCGAAATAAGGCGAGATAATATCAGCAAATTAGTACAAATGTAATGAGGTTGCAGAAACTCAGAGTTGGGTGTGTACGTCCACAATTTTTGAAAGTGGCAGAACGAGTTGAGAACATTATTATAAAGAAAAGCACGTGAGAGACAGAAGCATGTTCAAAATAAAGAAGGCTTTGCTAAACCTTCATAAATCAATAATTAAGTCTCAGCTGCAGCAGATCGAGCAACAGGCTGTCAGGTGGCTGGAACATATTTACTATTCATTTGCATACAATGAATACTCATTAGCCAGGATGTCATCAACAGTATACCATTCCCAACATTGAGATTGAAACTGTGCACCACTTCACTTTTATCCTCTTGTCGCCTTTTTTCCACGTGATTATAATTAGAATTCTTGGTGGCAGTGGTGTACATGTAGAACACATTTGATTTAGTGGTGGAGGGAGCTTTTTCACTTTTGAAATCCACCTTCAGCTGCTAATGATATATCTACATTGGTTTAACTTTATTCATGTGTGCATTATCATTCTTTACTGAGACCAGCTCTGTCATACCTAAATGTACTGGTATGCGTCACACACATTGGTGGCTCCAGGGGAAGTAGGAACATTTTCTTCATTGTGGATGAAACAGTGTTGTGATTTTCTGTTTACTTTTTATCGAATGCTCGTGCTACTGTTTATTGTTGTACTCTCCATTCAGTGGGACACGACCCAACTCGGAGGCTCAACTGGCCCTCCTTCCTAAGAAATGTCATTGTACAGCTCTGGAGCAGGTTGGACTTGAGCCTGTGAAAGACATTGTCCTAGATCGCTATCAGTTGAGATAGCTGAAATGTTGGGGTATGGGGAATGGAGTTATGGTTTTGGTAGGGGTAACTTAGGAGGAGTATGAAGGGAGTCAGGCTCTAGCCTATAGTTTAGGATATATTGTTGAGTGGCAGTTACACCATATGAGTTCCTTGCAAATGATCCTGTGGATCTATAGCAGGTCAACAGTCAGGGAAGGATCCTTGAGTTTGAAGTAGGGGATGTTCAGCTACAGAGGGAGAAGGCTAATGGTCTATGAGTGAGAGTAGAGGGATAATGAAGGCTCGTGAATGATGATGTAAGATGACTCCAGAATACCAAGAGAAGGGTGGAAGGTGAGGTTGGGAATGTCAAGGGTGAGGGATGTAAGGATGAGGTTCACTGGCTCTGGGTCAAGGATAATGGTTGGATGGTCTAAGATGGGTACAGCTAGAAGCAGGTTGATGTCGGGTGGGTGAGGGGGGTTGGGAAGAACTTGAGGGTGATAGAGGGAGATTGGAGCTAGATGGGCTCCGGCTACAAGCCCACAGTAGGTGTGTCAATCAACGTGGCTAAGAAACTGCTAAAAAATAGGAAGAATGTCTGCAGATCTGGAAACTAGCTGCATGTGACCAACTTCAGCATTTAAGCTGACCACTGGACAAAAAAACGAAGAACTGCACATGCTGGAAATCTGAAATGAAAACAGAAATTGCTGGGTTCTGATGAAGGGTCAATATATTTAAAACATTGAGTCTACTTTCTCTCCACTGATGCTTCCAGACCTGCTGAGTTTCTCCAGCAATTTCTGATTTTGTTACAGCTTCAACAACCCCTTAGAAAAAGTCAGTTGCTAATTATTATGTGTTTAATTACTCAATTATAATGCTAGTGACATATACTTTGAAGTTAACATTGAGTTCATAGATTTCCAGGGCTTCCTGAAATTCACCAGTGAAAGTATGATGATTACAGAGCAGCAACAGAGGGGGCTGAATTAATTTCAGCAAAATATGACCATAAATATTTAGGACTCATAGACGCTTTATTACCTTCTAGTAAGAAAGAGATTGTTGAAAGTATTTCTGCAGAGAGGCTACTTTGTACAGTTCAGCATTACTTTTTTACACTTGGAGAATTACTGTCAACACCTCAGAACGTACAATGCGATACGTAAGATCATATTGTATTGGCAAATAAACTGACTAAATATTAGAATCATGTCCACATCATACACTTCAAATGGAATAATTGTGTTCCTTGTAAAAAAAAATTATTAAAATTGGCTTGTTTCAGCTAATCTGGTTAATCAGCTTCCATTGCTTTATATGTTGCAGGAACTGCTGAGCCAGCTTGCTTGGCCTTCTAACTTTTGTTTTTAATTTTAAGAACAGGGCTATCTTTGTCCTAAATTCTATGCTCTAAGGTTATGAAGGATGCTAAGTGAGCATATCTTTCTTTGTTTTCCCAAAAATTTCATAAACTAAAAACATATCTTTTCAAAATATTTTTTCTTCTCAAGTGTGTGATACTAGTGCATCGGTCACCTTTTGAATATATCGCCCAGGAGACAGACTCCTGTGTTAGGTCTAGAGAAATGTGTTTTATTATACAATAATTATACAATTATAAACAGACATTCCCAAATGCAAAACATAAGGCTGAAGCATTTGCAGCAATCAGCCTTCTCCAGTAGTTCCAGTATCACAGATGCCAGTCTTCAGCCAATTTGATTCACTCCATGTAATATTAAGAAATACTTGGAGGCATTGGATACTGCAAAGGCTATGGGCCCTGACAACATTCTTGCAACAGTGCTGAAGACTTGTATTTCAGATCCTGCCGCTCCCCTAGACAAACTGTCCATTAAACATTTAACGGTGTTACCATCACTGAATTCTCCCACTATCAACATGTTGGAGGTTATCATTGACCAGAATCTCAACTGGACTCACCATATTAATGCAGTAGCTATGGCAGCAGGACCGGGCCTAGGAATACTGTGGGGAGTAACTCACCTCCTGACTTCACAATTATCTACAAGGCACAAGTCAGGAGTGTGATGCAATATTCCCCAATTGCCTGAATGCAAAACCTGGATGCAAATCCAACAACACGCAAGAAGCTTGACACCATCCAGGACAAAATAGCCCATTTGATAGGCACCACATCGACAAGCATCCATTCCCTCCACCGCTGATGTTCAGTAGCAGCAGTGTTTACTATTGACAAGATACACTGCAGAAATTCACAAAAGCTTCTTAGAAAGCACCCTCCAAACCCACAACCATTTCCAGCTCAAAGTACAAGGGCAGCAGATTGATGGGAGCACCACCACCTGCGAGATCCCCCCCTCCAAGCCACTCACCATACTGACTTGGAAATATATCAACACT